TTAGTAGTCGTAGTTGCTTCTATCTCTTGAGATTTAGATTAAATCCAAGTCGGTTATTATGTGTAGGCAAGTCGAATTTGTTTTCCTTTGAGTTAGGTGTGCAACCAACGTGTTGGTCAAACCACGGCTATGCTAATATAACTAGCCATGGTACGGTCATGAAATAGGGAGATGATGTTATTATGAATTAGACACCGTGTGTGTTTCGGTCGTCGGCCATTATCGAGTTTAGAGAATTCTTGTCCAAAATCTCTACTGGCTTGTGAGTTCCTGCGACGCGGCGCGTAGGGGATTACAAGCTAAGTCTATACGGTTCGTCTATGTTATTCCTTTGGATTGAGGGGTTAGCGTGTTGTTTCCGTGGGATTTGCGAACATCTTCATAAACCCGCGACTTGTTCTTGCTGCAATGGAGGTTTGTGCTGTGAAAGATTATGCCAACAACAGATTGACCCTCGTCTCGAGGTTCATTCCTCATCAAGTGGTATCAGAGACCGGTGTTTCTCGCGGCACTTTGGAGGAGACGGCTGACGCGCCATCACCAAGAAACTATTGGAGGCTATCCAGTGACTTTTTGCTGGAGGATAAAGGATATGGTGCTGAACTTTTTCACACCTTTTGTAAAGTGGGAGAGAAATTTTGTGCCATGACGATAGATCATGACAGTTTGATCAACGCTGTCGGCGTCGACATGGTGGAGAAGCTGCATCTATCGATGACACCACATCCACGACCGTACTCACTGAGGAGGTGCTACGACAAGCTCGCCATCACGCACCAAACTATGATACTGTTTTCTATCGGCAAATTTTCTGGTGAGTTTTTGTGCGACATAATTCCGGTACCAATGATTTTGTGTCATATGCTACTGGGAGAGCCATGGTACAAGAAAAATAATGCTACACACGACTATCTCGCCAACACGTACACTGTTAAACGGGATATGAAATATGTTCTCATTGCCATGGAGAAGAAGTCTTTCAAGACTTGGCGGAAAGAACGATTTAACAAGATGAAGGAGCAAGATGAAGCAAAGAATGCTGGCGAAGGTACTAAAGTTTTTTCGGCGGATGTTGAGCCCGCGGGCGAAGTTGTTGCTAAAGAGTTCGACTCAAAACCGAGGACGGTTTCGCTTGAAGAGGGGGCGGATGATACGGACACGGCCAGATTTGGTGTTTTTGCTATTCACACATTGTCGTGTGTCGAAGGATTAAAGTTTAAGGATATCAACATGCCAAAAATATACCAACTTAGTGGAGAAGATGTGAAGGTCAAGGGTTCAATTTTAGTCAGAGTTAAACATGCAGCTGCAGTACAAAAGATGGTTTTCTTTGAGAACAGAGGTATGCTGGCATGCATGCCTACTATGGCATTGTTAGAGATGCACTCACGTAAGAAACATAAAAGAAGAATGTTTAACATGCATGCATTATGTGGGAAGATGTGCTTGTACGTGCATGCAAAGAAATACTCATATACAAGTACGTTTGATCTATCTTCAATCGAGCCAATGGAAATTAGGAGAAGGACGTGTCTACATGAGGGAGGAGTCCTGGTCAACTACTATTTTCATCGGGCGCGGCCACCAGAGAAGCTACTGTACTCATGGATGTCTCTAGGGATCAGAGACCTGCTATCTTTGAAGGGAGCCGGGTGGGGCCAACCTGCAGATTGTATGAAAACGCACCATCCAATGTTTAGTAGTCGTAGTTGCTTCTATCTCTTGAATTTTATATTAAATCCAAGTCGGTTATTATGTGTAGGCAAGTCAAATTTGTTTTTCTTTGAGTTAGGTGTTCAACCAACGTGTTGGTCAAACCACGGCTATGCTAATATAAATAGCCATGGTACGGTCATGTAAGAGGGAGATGATGTTATTATGAATTAGACACCGTGTGTATTTCGGCCGTCAACCATTATCGAGTTTAGAGAATTCTTGTCCAAAATCTCTACTGGCGTGTGAGTTCCTGCGACGCGGCGCGTAGGGGAATACAAGCTGAGTCTATATGGTTCGTCCACGTTATTCCTTCGGATTGAGAGGTTGGCGTGTTGTTTCCGTGGGATTTGCGAACATCTTCGTAAACCCGCGACTTGTTCTTGCTGCGATGGAGGTTTGTGCTATGAAAGATCAGGCCAACAACGAATCGACCCTCGTCTCGATGTTCGTTCCTCATCACGATGCCTTGGTGTTGGAATCATCCCGATGTACTTGCTTAACAGGGCGTGACCTCTTAGAGTTTGATTTCCTCGATGCTACAAGGAATGGGTTCATTCCCATCTCTTTAAAGCCGATTGGTCGTAATCATTTCCAAGATATGATGTAAAAAAAATTAAAATCAAAGGCCGGCATATAACTATCGTCCTAAGCATAAACATGGCCGATATAGAATTATTGGCCTAAGCTCTCACGAGCCCAACGGGCACGTGCACACGCACGAGACCCGAAGGTCACCGGAGTTGCGTCATCGACAAGCTCGGCACTACTAGGAAAAGGACTATAGATAGGACTGATTCTAATGGCGCACCAGGTAAGTAGTGCGCCACTACTATATACTAATGGCGCACCGGTTGCTCGTGCGCCATTAGTGTGGAAGACACTAATGGCGCACCGTGCTCAGTGTGCGCCACTACTATTGATTTTTTTCCTATTTTTCCATACAAACTAATGGCGCAGGGATGGCAAAGTGCGCCATTACTAGTTAGAACTAGTAATGGCGCACGACCAAGACAGTGCGCCATTAGTATATATATTTTTTTACTTTTTTGCAAACCTACTAATGGCGCACTATGCCAAAGCCCAGTCGTGTATATACCCGAAGCCAAATCCAAGACCGCGGGCGCAAACGTCACCGCGAAAAATGAGCCATGGGTACTGGCTTCCCAAGTGGACCAATACTTCTTCATTACCGACCCGCCAAAGCCCAGTCGTGTTGTCGTGAGGAGAGGCAAAAGGAAGATCATCGGAATGGATGGAGTAGCCAATGAGCAAGACTTCGACAAGTACGGCGACCCGAAGATCGAACATGACGACGACGATGAAGTAGCAGCACACACCACAAGAAGAAGCAGGACCACCCTACCTAAAGGACGTCTGTTCCACAGAAGAACTCCATTTGCGAAAAAGAAGGGCAAGAAGATTGTGAACAGATAGCTAGCTAAGATCGATTGTATTTAAATCGTAGTCTTCATTTCTCGATTGTATTTCATGGGCACTTTTTGATATCATGAATATTTTTAAATTTCATGGGCACTTTTTGAATTCATGAGGACACTTGATCTCGATCCCCCTCCATCTCGATCTCGATTCCCCCTCCATCTCGGTCTCGATCCCCGCACCCTCCCCCGCTCCACCCCGCTGCCGATGATATTTTCAAGTAAGAAATTTGAACATATTTTTTAAAAAATTATTACCGTTTTTATAAAAAAATATTACTGTTATGATTTAAACAAGTTTGAACATATTTAAACACAAATAAATATAAAAAACAACATTTAAAATGCATAAAAAATATTAGGGAGCCTAGGAATCAAACCCAGGACCTCCTGGTGTGTGTGCTGCGTGCTGACCAGTCGGGCTAGTGGGTGGGTTCTGTTGTAGATAGGGTTAGGTTGTAGATATGGTTAGTGGGCTAGATTAAAACAAAATTCTAATGCGCACCGAGGGGTGGTGCGCCATTAGAATAGTCATACTTATGACGCACGACTGGACGGTGCGCCATTAGAACCCTCCCCCTAGCTATCCTCCCTCCCTCTCGCCAGATCCCCTTCGACCCTCTCTCCCTCGCCACCAGATCCACCCGCGCGCTGCCCCGACCCACGCCGACGCCGCCCCCGCGCCTCCGTCTCCGTCGCCGCCCCCAGTCAGCCCCTGCCCTGCCCCCCATCGCCGTCTGCTCCCAATCCACCCCCTCCCTCACCT